CTGTCCAACTAAACGGAACAATAAGGACTCAGAAAGACAGGGACTCTCGTCGTTGCCTCTTCGTCGTCTCTGCCTATTCTACCACTGACTGCAGCTCAGATGATGTCAAAGATGAGTTTTACAGAAAGCTTTCCAACCTTCTCCGAAAAGCTAGGCGCTCTGATGTAGTTATAGTGGCTGGTGACTTTAATGCTCAAGTGGGTATACTAAGCGAAAGGGAAAGACACTTAGGTGGATCTTATTGTGTCGTGGCTCAAAGAACAGATAATGGCAACCGTCTGTTGCAGCTATGCTCAGATAACCGTCTGCTTCTTACAAATACTAACTTTAAGCTTAAGGAAAAACATCCTTTAACATGGCGACCCCCGAATTCGTCCCAACGTTGGACCCAAATAGATCACTTCGCTACCGGCCACCAATGGAAGGGCTCCATAGAAGACTGTTGCTCATTCTGGAGCACATGCTTAGATTCAGATCGTGCTTTAGTACGAGCGCATTCCCGTCTGCGTCTTACTGGACGTAGGAAAGACGCTGCAAGGAAACCTCTTAGGGCCCTACTTAATGATAGTCAAGCTAAGAGTATATTTCAGGAACAACTAGGAAAACAGTTAGGCAGCCATGTAGGTGATGCCCACCCCGAGGCAGCATGGAATGATATCCGAAAAGCTGTGGAAACAGCCATGATATCTGCTAGTACGGTAAACCGTAAGGTTAGGGAGCAACACTGGATCTCAGCAGCATCTACCGCACTGATAGATGCTTGAAAACTCATTTCATCTGGATCCGAACATGACGAAGAGCGGAGTCAGCTTAAGCACAAGCTAACAAGAAGCCTACGCAATGATCGCGAACAGTGGTGGGTAGCGAAAGCAAGAGAGATGGAAAAGGCAGTGGCAATAGGTCATAGCAGACAATTGTTCAGACTCGTTAAGGAAACCGGAATTAGGAACCCGACCGTTAGCGAAACACTCTCAGAGAAAGATGGACATATTATACATTCTCAATCCAGGAGATTGGATCGATGGGCAGAATACCTTAGGGATCAGTTCAACTGGCCTTCAGCCACACTTCGGTTTCCCACGATCTCCAGTCAACCTGAATGGCAAGTTAATTTAGGTCCTCCGACTATTTACGAAGTTGAAAAAGCTATAGGAAATCTGAAACGAGGGAAAGCAGCAGGCCCTGAAAGGTTAACTCCTGAAATTTTTAAGGATGGTGGTCCAGTATTAGCAGTGAGATTAACTGAGGTCTTAGGTAGAATTTGGGAACTGGACGCAATCCCATCTGACTGGTCTCAATCACTGGTTGTGCCAGTCTATAAGAAATGACAAAAGTCCTCTTGTGACAATCACAGAGGAATCAGTTTGACTAATATAGTGTCTAAAATATTAGCTTCAATAATACTTCAACGCCTAACTAATGCTCGTAAAGAGCAGACTAAAGAAAACCATGCTGGTTTTTGACCTGGACGTGGTTGTATAGACCAGATATTCACACTATGTCAGGTTCTAGAACACAGACACACATTCAGACGCCCCACAATGGTAGTATTTCTCGACCTCAAGGCAGCATTCGACTCTGTTGATCGTGAGGTTCCATGGCAGTAGTTGTCACTGAAAGGAGTACCAAAGAAGTGCAATAACATTGTAAAGGCTCTCCACTCGAACACAACTGGTCGAGTGAGAGCTTATGGCGAACTGTCATCAGAATTGATTACCTCAAGTGGTGTTCATCAGGGCTGCCCACTCTCTCCATTCTTGTTTACCTTTTTCGTTGACGTACTTTTAGAGACAACACTTTCCTCATCTAAATTTCCAGGGGTTGAACTTCTACCAGGAGATTCACTTGTTGACTTAGAATATACTGGTGACATAGTTCTATTTGGTGAAGACGCTGACAAAATGCAAAGTCTTATGACCACACTAAGCAACAATGAAGGCATGTTCGGGATGCGATTTTCCCCCTCGAAATGTAAAATGTTGCTTCAGGATTGGGTTGCATCGATACCCGAACTAATGATAAAGAGTGGAGTAGTTGAGCATGTCGACTGCTTCACTTATCTTGGAAGTCTCACCAGCCCTTGTGGTCACGTGTATCACGAAATCTCAGAACGGATACAGAAGGCTCGACTAGCTTTTGCCAACTTGCGTCATTTATGGCGTAGGCGAGATATCCGTCTATCAACCAAAGGACGTGTTTACTGCACAGCAGCTCGTTCCGTCCTATTTTATGGCAGTGAAACATGGCCGGTAAGAGTAGAGGATATTCGTCGGTTAATAGTATTCGATCATAGGTGTCTTCCCAATATTGCTCGTATATCCTGGGACCATCGAGTACGTAACACAGTTGTTAGGAAACGGGTACTAAGTAAGGACGGCAAATCAATTGATGAACTAGTGAAACCTCATCAGTTGAGATGGCTGGGACACGTGTTACGTATGCCCAACCACCGACTGCCTCGAAGTGCGATATTCAATGGTATAGGAGTAGGTTGGAAGAAAACTAGGAGCGGCCAGACCGAAACATGACACAAGTTCATGAAGTCACTGACAAGTGGATTGAGCCATGTTGTTAGATGTAGACTACTTGGTTGGGGACCGCGAGATGATAGCAAGCGGTGGTTAGAAGCCCTGAATGACATGGCTGAAAATCGTTTGCAATGGCGCAGGTGCATACACTCTTTGTGTTCTCCGAAATTCTAGTCTCCTTATTCCTCCTTGTTTCTTTTTTCTCTTCCCAAATTTATTTCACTGGATTATACTCTTTAAATAACATCTCCAAACCCTAATGTGTCCGATTACTGCTTATACTCTTACCGCCTCTATCACTACGGGATTTGAATCGACAACTGCATCACTGTGCTAATGTGGTGCGGCAACTCGAACTGATGTACGTACGTACGAAGTTCTACGTTGTTACTGACTGACTGACGATATACATTTAGATGCCCCTTTGTATCAGTATTTATGTTCTAATAAATTAAAAAGGGCTGTTATAACGACTTAGTTGGATTGTTTATATAAGAACACATGTTGTTTAGGGGGTTCTAGCGTGCCAAAGAGCTGATTTGGGAATCTCGACAGACCCAACACACACTGTGAGCTGACGATATCGACAAATGGGTATAAAAAATCTTTCGACGTTTCCTGAGTTACACTATATACCATATGAGAAATCACTTGTTTGTAAAAGGGTGAGTACATTGGGCGGCTGTGATAGACGCGATGTACTACAGAAAAGGTGGAGCATATATGTTGCTAAAACCACAATTTCGCACATATAACTCGGTGGAACTCTTGAACGAGTTTTAACCAAAACGTTTTGGAACATCTTAACTAATTATCCCAAATAGTTATATTGATCCGTTTTCAATTTTTAAGATAGATTTACGTTTACTTTTGTTCACATAACCAGTTGCCAATTTTGCGTAACTTTCAGTTTTTTAACAACGAAAGATCCAAGCATCATTGCTGTATAGACCAAGCTTTTGTCGTAAAGTGAAATCTAGCCATTTGAATACGTCTACATAACTGTTTGAAGGTAATTATTTGTCACACTGCTTGATCTAATATCAGGCATCACTGTGAACCACGGCTTTACGAATACTTAGAACATAGATGACCTGATACACCTGACCATCTGTTGAAACATTAAGCGACAGAAGTGGTACATGGATCTTATACATGTTAGGTCTTAGTAAAAGAGGACCCGATCATCTGTTTGAAACACTAAATGTTTATCACCACTGAAGGATTTTAGCCGATAAAGCAAACACGACAGCGAGGTTTTCCCTTGAAAGTCTGGGTATTTCGACACCAAACAGCCTTGCCCTAAGGCGTCAATATGAAGACGATTCCGTCATATCCCCTTACCTCGAGATTGTGGCCCGGACCGAGTTTAAAGAGGAAAAATCAAAGACATACTTGGACTTACAAATGAACCATACGAAGCTAGTCTGGCGAAATGAAATTTGGGGCATGTATGGTACAAAAGTGTAGGGGACGATAATACTGTGCTGTATTATACCGCTTGTAAACCTCGCCATCCCAACAGACAAATACGTCTTGATAGTGAGACTACATCTAAGAGAATACCCATGGTACACCACGAAAAAACATATTTAGAAATACATAGGAACGTTCTTGTGAGGAATCTGTTAATAAGACATTTCAGTGCAGGCGGCAACAGTAACGAAACCTTCAGTTGATTTTTCCGAGGACCCGAAGGTTGTCATACTTTTGAGGTCTAGTTACTCGATAATACTTTCTGTTATTGACTACATTCTTTATTACTTCACATTTCTGATTGACTAAGACAAGAATGACACTTCTTCATAAATCAAAGAACACCGTTACAACACATCCCACGGGACAAGTGGTTTGCGCTGACAATAGACTCAATTCAACTGGAGAATACAGTAGACTCTGTGATCGAGTGCAGTACTGGTTTAACTTACAACGATGTGTCGGAAATTAAACTTTTCTACACAATCCTAAGACAGGTGATCAAGAAACTTTACCGTGATATTAATAACTTGAGGCCGGATATATTATCACGAGTTAGCAAAGGAGTTTACACGTCAAATGAACCACTTACTCATGGGGCACGAATATTGTAATTACCCACTGAAACTTACTGTTAAGAATAGTAACGCATGTCCACGGATAATTTACTAGCCAAGCAATAAAGTAGGTAGGAACTGACATTGAACCTTGACCTTATATCCTTACACGAAAAATCTCGACCTTTCTTATATGCTTCGAGCCTGATGGCATGAACTGATTTAGTTTTTCTAATCTAAATAGCTAAGGAGAGTCAAGATGTATTTTATTGATTTGACTCCTTTACTTAAACTGACGAAAAGAAGTAACTGAAAGCTATGTGTTGGAAAGATATCAAACTACTACATAAGATTCACCATCACGACACATTACCCAAATGCTGTTAAATCAAGAGTACCTGTCATAAGGAATACATGCAGTAACAAAAAGACATGTTACCTTGATTTCAAATTCCGCAAGGACGCCGCAAATTCTTTCAAAATTTTAATATCTACATAATTCAAACCTCGAACTCTGTCCAGGAGGTTGGCGGAACACTATGTTACTTCGTATCTGTAAACCGGTTTTAAGAGACAGTTCTTTGAAACCCACGATGTTTTGGGTGCTTCTTTTCCGCGCTAATTTCAAAAAGAGCAGTGATTTTTGTACTTGTTGTGATTATACTTGCTTTTGGTACTTATTGCACTAAAAAGCATTCTTGGTCTACTTTAACTAAGAGTTCTTTGGTTAAAGTTTGAAATTTTTTGCTACATTTTGTCCTGGGTACCTGTTTTTTAGTCCTTGACTAAGACTTGTGTTCACATTGTTATCGTTTTTTGTTTTTAAACCTTTTAAATCGAATTACAATGGTTGGTAAGACTCACAAATGTGGGCAACCAAATTGTTTGTTCTCCGTTGAGGAGGGAATGCAGTGTGACGACTGTAAAAAGTGGTATCACAAAATGTGTACACGACTAAGTCCGACGGCTTACAAAAGATGCTCGAAGCCTAACTCGCATTGGCTTTGTGTGTTCTGCTGTACGGATAAAAAGGTACTAATACAGGAGGCTATGGGCCTATTGGCTTTGGCGTGCAAGAAAAACGATGGCGGAAGCACTGATAACAGGAGTACTGACGATGAAGAATGTGTCAGTGTAGTAAGTGCTGCTACTGGACCCATTAAACACCTGACTGCGGTTGACGGGAACGTGAAATCTCCGTTGACATTAACGAGAAATGAAGTGTCGCCTGATATTGACATCGGCAGTCATACACCTCTAGTCGAAATAGAAGATCCGGATAAAACTGTCACCGTTCCACATAGTCCAGGTGTGGCTGTTCTGAGTGGTGACAAATGGACTCCGGTAAGAAAAAAAACAATAAGAAGAAAAAGGCTGTAGGCAAAACGCAGCTGGTCAGCAAGACATTGGAAGGGACTTTATCAGAAGAAAAATCCTCACCGCGTGAAAAGACAGATCTCTCTGAGAGATCAGTCATTTTTCATAAGATAAGAGAATCTTCAGACACTGAACCAAAGGCAAGATTTGAACATGATCTCAATCATATTAAGACATCATTAAGTAAACTACTCCCAGATACAGTTTCAGGAGTTAGTATTTGTAAGCTTTATAGAATAGGAAAAAAGGTGGATTCCGAAAGTCCTCAGAAAAACCGCCTCCTAAAGGTTACATTCAACACGGTGGAAGAAAGGAACCTGGTTCTAAGTAATTCACGTAAACTGATTGGGTCCGGAATATATGTCCGTGAGGACCTCAGCCTAGCTGATCGTATTAAGAGAAGGGCTGCAGAAGCGGAAATAAACGAGCGTCGCCGAAACGGTGAAAGAAACCTCGTTCTTAAGGGTTTTCAGATTGTAAAAGTTCGGAGCAAAACGATCCCCAAGCCACTCTGGGTGGCAAGGGAAAGCTCTCCACAGACTTAAAAGTGTGCTACACAAATGCTCGCAGCCTACTAAATAAAATGGCGGAGCTGAAGTCAGTGGTGGATAAAGAAAAACCGGACGTTATCGCTGTCTCGGAAACTTGGTTAACGTCAGAAGTATTAGATAGTGAAATCCAATTGACTGGTTTCGTAACCAGTAGGGCTGATAGATTAAACCGAAGGGGAGGCGGGGTTATTGTGTACACGAAAAGTACCCTAACAATAAGATTAGCTGAGACAGTAGCACATGTTTCAGGGACATGTGAACTGGTGAGATGTAAGTTGAAATGCCGAAGGCAAGATATTGAATTAGTTGTAGTTTATCGCAGTCCAGAATGTGTAGCAGACGATTTTCTCCTCAGTAAACTTAAGTCCTGGTGTAACAACGGTAAAAGCCTTGTAGTAGGCGACTTTAATGCACCATATATAAACTGGGTTAACTTAGAAGTAGAGCCATCTATATCGTCGTTCGACTCCAAACTGTTAGAAACCTCGATTGGACTAGCATTATTCCAACACATTAGAGATCCCACAAGGTACGACTTAAGAAACTCTTCTCTTTTAGATTTAGTCTTCACACACGGTGAGGACGTTGGTCAAACGGCTTTTCTCCCACCACTTGGGAGAAGTGACCATGCAGTCATCTTATTCAAATTCATGGCTGAGTTTGCTTGTCAAACAATTGCGCCGGCCCGTCCTAACATATGGAAGGCAGATATGCAGGCAATTAACTCCGCAGCATTGGCTGAGAACTGGGAAATTGACTCAAAGGCATCAGTACAAGATGCATGGACTCTATTCAGGCAGTTATACAATCGGGTAACTCAACCATACATACCCTGGACTGTCCCAAAGAAAAAGAAGCACGGACATCCCTGGTTAGGGCGGGATATTCGACGCTTACTAAGACAAAAGAAGAAATGCTGGGATATTGCCATCCGCCTTCGCACAGCAGATACGATGGAACACTACAGATCGATAAGAAACGTGTGTATAACTAAAATTCGGGAAGCGCAAAGAAAATACGAAATGCAGCTGGCAGAATCTGCACTCAAGCAGCTCAAGAGGATATTCTCGTACATAAACTACAGAACAAGGACTCATCACTGGATTCCCAACCTAACTAAAGTAGGAAGTGAATCTGAAATGATAGAGGAAGATCAGGAAAAAGCTGAGATTATGGCTGACTACTTTGGGGCAGTTATCACTCAGGAACCTCCTCTAGAGAAAGAATCAGACCCAATTACAGAGTCAACAAACCAGCTGCTCACCGTGGACTTCGACCAAAACGATGTGCTTAAGGCTCTTAGCACCCTAAACATGGAGAAATCAACAGGACCAGATGAACTACACCCTAAAATCTTGAGACATATTGCCGAATATATCGCAGCCCCACTAACTGTGATATTCAAAATGTCATTTGACCAAGGTGTGTTACCTATGGACTGGAAGGACGCAATCGTCACTCCCAGACATAAAACTGGTCTACGACAAGTTCCATCAAATTACAGACCCGTAAGCCTCACCAGTATTGTAATTAAAATACTGGAAAGGATAATCAAACGGACCATAACAGCATTTATGGAAACCAATAACTTGCTGAACATGGCACAACATGGTTTTAGAAAGGGTCTATCCTGTACAACGAACCTCCTTATAGCTAGGGAGCTCTGGATTAATGCGCTAGACAACGGAAACTCAGTGGATGTTGTCTACATAGACTTCAGTAAGGCTTTTGACAAGGTGCCAACTAATATACTGCTATTGAAGTTGGCAAACCTTGGTATTGCCGGACCTCTTTTAAAGTGGATTAAGGATTTTCTAGTAGGTCGTAGGCAAAAAGTAAGAATAAATTCCAAGTGCTCCATCTGGAGACCAGTACTTAGTGGAGTACCCCAAGGTTCCGTCCTAGGTCCTTTAATTTTTATAATGTACGTTAATGATCTTACAAGTATAGTACAGTCTCCAATGTTATTATACGCTGACGATGTAAAAATTTGGCGAGTAATAACTGAGAAATGATTTCGGACCTAACTTATTCTCTCTCTTTCTTCCCACTAGATCGGGACACCTAAGAGGACATAGCAGGCGAGTAGAAAAGCCAAGAACGAACAAAATACCCGTGGCATACAGGTTTTCACACCGAGTCATCAATACTTGGAACCTGCTGCCTGAAGCAGTGGTATCCGCACCTTCAATTGACTCTTTCAAAAGAACATTGGACACTCACAGAAGCATACTAGAAAAGGAATAACATAGGCCGTAGGCCTTCTGTCCTTACTACACAAATCTGAATCTGAATAACTCTTGTTTAATTAGTTTCTAAGTTTGAAAGCGAACACCTATAATACTTTCAGATTCAGATTTGTTTAGTAAGGACAGAAGACCCAGGGCTCATGTTATTCCTTTTCTAATATGCTTATGTGAGTGTTCAGTCTCCTCTTGAAAGAGTAAATTGAAGATGCGGACACCACTGCTTCGAGAACCAGGTTCCAAGTATTGATGACTCGATGTGAGAGCCTGTACTTACTTACTTACATACTTACGCCCGTTACTCCCAATGTAGCATAGGCCGTCGACCAGCATTCTCCAACCCAATCTGTCCTGGGCCTTCTTTTGTAGTTCCATCCAATTCTTTTTCATTTTTCTCCTGTCCATTTCCATTTCTCCGCGTAATGTGTTCTTTGGTCTTCGTCTTTTCCTTTGGCCTTGAGGATTCCATGCGAGGACTTGTCTTGTGACCCAGTTGTGTGCTTTCCTCAATGTGTGTCCTATCCACTTCCAACGCTTCTTCCTGATTTCCTCCTCCATTGGGATCTGGTTTGTTCTCTCCTACAGTAGGTTGTTGCTAATAGTGTTTGGCCAACAGATCCGAAGTATTTTGCGTAGACAATTGTTAATAATCACTTGTATCTTCTGGATGATGGTTTTCGTAGTTCTCCAGGTTTCTGCCACATACAGTAGAATTGTCTTGACATTTGTATTGAAAATCCTGACCTTGGTGTTGGTTGACAGTTGTTTTGAGTTCCAGATGTTCCTCAGTTGTAAATATGCCGCTCTTGCTTTGCCGATCCGCGCCTTCACATCCGCATCAGATCCGCCCTGTTCATCAATGATGCTCCACAAATACGTAAAGGTTTTTACATCTTCCAAATCTTCTCCGTCAATTGTGATTGGATTGGTGCATTCTGTGTTGTATCGGAGAATCCTGCTTTTCCCTTTGTGTATATTGAGATCTACTGCTGCTGAGGCTGCTGCTACACTGATCGTCTTCTCTTGCATTTGTTGTTGCGTTCGGGATAGAAGGGCCAGATCGTCTGCAAGTCCAGATCGTCCAACTGCATCCTAGATGTCCATTGTATCCCGCGCTTCCCTTCAGATGTTGACGTCTTCATGATTCAGTCGATCACCAGGAGAAAGAGAAAGGGTGAGAGTAAGCAACCTTGCCTAACACCGGTCTTCACTTCGAACGACTTTGTCAACTGTCCTCCATGCACAATTTGGCAGTGTAATCCATCATATGAGTTCTGTATGATATTGACTATCTTCTGAGGCACGCCGTAGTGTCGAAGAATTTTCCATAGTGTTGTTCTGTCCACGCTATCAAATGCCTTTTCGTAGTCAATGAAGTTGATGTAGAATGGTGAATTCCATTCAATTGT